AATTTAGCTTTAAGAAACAAAATAAGGATAAAATAAAAATGAATAAATTATAATGGAGATTAAATCAATCCTTTCTTTTACTATTGATACTAGAATTTAATGTTTATTAATTGATTAATTAATATTGGTAATAATTTCAATTAATTGATAATGAAAATTTTATTTACCTTCGTTGACATTTTAGAGAAAAGGGTTAAAATCAAGATTATTTAACAAACTATCATTACTTGTATAAATTTTCAAGCTTTTAGATTTAGTAATCTCTTCATCTAAGGATCTACTTATATGATATGCATCTGGATGTGATTTGTAGACTTGACCATTACAACCAGTAGTAGTATTATTGCTATTATTATCATTATTATTAATAGTTTCAATATATTTATTATAAGCAAACTCAAGCAGCCCTCTACTAGTTGGTCTTTTTGAAGGATCCACATCCCAACACCTCTGCATCATTTGCACATAATCTTCAGGCATTCCAGGTAATATTAGTGGTCGTAAACATTCTGCACATATATCAAAAATCAAATTATGATTGTGAGCTCTATCATCAAATGGTGGATGACCTGCAAATATTTCCCACATTAACATCCCAACACTATAAATATCTGATTCTTTTTACCTTTAAGTATCTCAGGTGCAACATATGATACAATTCCATAGACTTTATTTGATGATTTTTCATTAACTGGTCCACATAATCCCAAATCTCTAATATAACAATTACCTCCTTCTACAAGTATATTGCCACTATGTAAATCACAATGAATTAAATCTTTTTGATGTATATCATCTAATGCATTGCATAAATAATAAAAGATTGTAATAATGTTAAATTTAAATTTTTTTGCAAATAACCCCTTAAATTTCCTTTTGATAAATAATTTGAAACAATTGCATAATTTCCATTATCTGGGAATTTAGTTATACCAAAGCACTTAACAATCAACCCTGATTTAAATTTAAAATAATTCATTGCCTGAAAATAAATATAAAATCAATTAGTATTATATAATACAGTGTTGTTTATTTTGTTTTAAATGACAATTACCAACCTCATCAAAAAAGTCTTTTCCTGAATTACTTGAATCATTTAAACTTTTTAATACTACATTTTGCCCATTTAAATAACTAAATTCCTTTTTATTTTCATTGTAATCAATTGTTCTTCCTCTTGTCCATGTAGCAGTAAAAATCTACCTTTGTTACATCTTCAAATTGCTCAAAAGGTATCAATTCCATAATATAAGTTTGCAAAGATGATTTCATTTAACATTGTTGAATAAAATCATCAATTATGTTATTTCCAGATGTCCAAATGGTAAAAAGGCTCTGTAATTATAAACTAATACAACCCTCACAGGATCTATCTGAGTATCTTGTCAGTTTACACTTGTTGCATTCTTTTGGTTTACCCCTTTTATTTCTTGCAGCATTTAACTCAAACACATATATAAACTTTTCCTTGCAAAATTCCTTTTCACTTTCAGAAATTTCTTTGTTTTCTTTGACCAATGAAAAAAAATAACCTTTTCTATTTACTTTGTTGGAATTGACCATTGCATTATTAGACATTTTACTATAAATTTATATACAAAATCCTTTCTTTCTGGTGATAACAATGATAATAGTTTAACATGTGACATTATATAAAAATATAAAATATAAATTTAACTTGGTGTTTTAATGAATAGAGTTTTTTACCCAAATTTGAAATGTTTTGTTGCACGGGAAATATTCTGTTGTAAAGAAGACTCGTTAAGACTTGAAACGGTAAATTCAGTGCAATTATGATAATAACGGATTGCAAATCTTCCAAAAATTTTTGTTGCTCTAGTAAACTGGGAAGGATGAAATCAAAATCGAAGGGTAATGAGTCTTTTTTGCTACACTGGCTTGGAAATTGATTTGAAATTTGAACAAAAGTATTTTTGTTTTCCAAAAATGATAATGGTTGTAGTTATTTTTACATCATCGTATCATACGAACTCCCATTGCTATCTATTTGGCAACCGAAAAATTTATCTATCTTTGTTCAAAGTGTTAGAATTGAGCGAAGCAGATACTTGACCGAAAGGAAATCGTATTTTGTTGAGTTATTATTATCAGTTAATTAATTCAATGATTGATAAACAAATTTTTTTTGATTTTGACCATTTGAGAAATAGTGGATGATCTGGATAGGAAAAAATTTATTTTTAATTTCCCTTTCGGAGAAAACAAAAAAAACTTTGTTGCGAGGTCCTGGCCACATATTAATTTTCATTGAGGTATTTTTTGCTGATCATTTTCAATTTTTATACGCACTATACGTTTAGTATTAGTATCGTATAATGTTCAACTATACTAATACGCATATTTTCCCACTCTAATAGAGCAAGAAAAATCCGTTATAGAGAGACCATTGTAGGCAGTATATGAGGCATATGAAATAATTTTAATTGGGCCCGAATTCTCAATCTGTTATTATTATAGAGTGAAAATCGTTACAGAAAAAGCCATCATCATATAAACCTACACATTAATTTCACCATTATTTGTATCATTAATAAATTGGATATATATTTGGTAAATAATTGTTTCATCATAGACAACGTAAAACTGCATCCTGTTTCCTAAAATAGAACTAATGTTATTTAGTGTCGGTGAATTTATTTAAAAGTTCAATGTTATTATTTCCTAATCTGAGAATTTGAGTTAAATTATTAACTGATTTTGATTGATAATAGGAGTAGCGGTAGTAGATGTGATGGTAGTGATAAAATTGTTAGATGGTAAATTATTTATATCGGGTAAAGGTTTTGATGGTAAAGAATAAAAAACTTGTATTTTTAATTATTATTACGATTAGAATGGTTTAGATTAGGAATATAAGTCACATAACAACTACCACCAACTCCTATTTTTTTATGCAGCTTCTGACAACCTTCTCCATTTTCTTGATTTATTAATTCGACATACTTGACAAGTATTTTCCTTCACTTATAAATATTATTATATTATAAATGATAATTTTTGAAACGGGATTCTTATTCTATATTTAATGATTGCAGGAGAATAATGATTATTTATTATAGATTTATGTCTTGTGATTTACATATATAAATGATCAGTTTTTGATTGTCACGGGAACAAATTGACCATTGCAACCTCCAAATTTTTGAATAATCTTTAAATTGATTTTTCTTTTACACTTTATGTGGTTTAATTATAATCAATAATTCTAAAACCTTTCTAATGTCCAAAAATTTACATTTAAGGGTCCATTTTATAAACTAATTCAATAGCCCAACAATAATAAATTAAACTAATAAACATTTCATTTGATTTATTGCTAATATTCTTCCTGGACATATTCTAGAACCACCACCAAATATTAAAGTGTCCTTTTTATTGTTATCATCATTTAAAAATTGTTCAGGATTAAACTCACCCATATCAATGGATCTAAATTCATAGCTAATGCATTTATCAAAAATATTGTGTTGATGTTGGTTGACCATTTAAGACCCCAATTGTATCATCCTCACTATTTATACGATTAATTGAATCAATAAGTGGTAATGCTCTTGCAGTTTCTTTGATAATATCATCGCAATAAACTAGGCGGGACAATTTTTCTTGAGTAATAATTTTAAAAATCCTAAAGAATTTGGCTGGCTTAATTATAAAAATCATAATTATTTCAATAACATATATATAATCTTCTTTTTTCCTCTTAAAAAGAAAATCACATATATACATTCATTTTGTCCCTTTATCGGGTTTTTTCCATAATGAAATAATTTTGAAAGTTTTGACTAGTTGATTCGTTAATTTTGAATTTTCATTCGATCAGCAAAATATTCATACAATTTATTTTTGCTGCAAGAAATAATCAATCAGATGATGTATTACGTACTTTATGGAAACTATTAAATTCCTCTATAATGATTTCGCGTCAAATCTGCTCTAATTGTTAGTTCATCTTGTGAATTAACCACTTTTAACATAGTTTATTTCTTATTGTTCTGCAAGATTTTCCACTTGGAGAAAATGAAGACTCAATGGTTTTATATTCTGTAAAATGCTATGATAAGCTTGTTTGTTAGAATTTTTTACTTAATAAAAGGCTGCCGTATTTTATTACATATAAGCAAAGAATAATTTAGCCATTACTATTTGAAACTATGATGTTTAGCTAAAATTTTATTGAAAATATTTTAGGATGTCTAAAATCATAATCATAAACCAAAGAACAAGTTTTCTGGCTATTTTAATTTTATTTAGGGATATTTAATAACTTTAACATGACCACACCATCAATATCCAGGCGATGTAAATATAATTGGTCAAACAAAATATTTTACCGTAAAGTCCTGAAAGATAGCACCCCCCTCTTTTACAATATGATCGGCATTCAATTTGAGCATTAAATTAACCAAAAAAGGTAACGAGATTATTACACAATATACAATATATTAAAATTATATAAAAAAATAACGAATGAAAAAAATTTATTAGCCTCATTTCTTCCATGGACTTTTTGCAACTTTAATTACTGTCTTTTTTTGAAATATTGTATATGATGATTTAATATGGCTGTTTAATTTTCTGTAGGAATTTTTTTGCTTATCCTGTAAAACATATCCTTATTGCCTTTTTAGAAGGTGCTATCTTTCGGGGGTGATATCTTTCCAGACTTTACGGTTAATGTTTAGAGTAATAATAAGTCATAATTTTTATTTAAAAAAAAGATCAATTTAGTTACACAACTGCCAACTTTAATTAGAAAAACAATGCAGTTAATTATAAGATAATCTTTTGAATCTTAAAATAATAATTTTTTTTATTTTATAAATAAGCAACGTTTTTCTTTAAAAATGGATTTTTTTTTAAAAATTATTTCTCAAGAAAAAAAAAAAAAAAACAACCACAATACAAATAATAAAAATACAATAAAATGGCAACAACTAACGGTCATAGCGATAAAAATAAGACTTTGCACACAAATAGTAATGGTAATAACCACAATCACATCAACAATAACAACGCAATAACTAATCCATATACACCAAGATATGCTGATTTATTAAGTAGAATTAGTAATTTTTCCATTATTGAATCAACTCTTAGGGGTTAGTTTTAATTATTATTATTATTATTATTAACATTGATATTGTTATTATTGTTATTATTGTTATTAATATTAATTCGTCATTATTGTTATTAATTATCATTTCATTTAGAGGGAGAACAATTTGCGAATGCATTTTTTGATACAGCGAAAAAAATAGAAATTGCTAAATCATTAGATGCATTTGGAGTAGAATATATCGAATTAACATCACCGGCTGCATCTGAACAATCAAGACAAGATTGTCAAGAAATTTGT